CACACACACACACACACACACACACACACACACACTGTAATGGCTCTATTCATGACAATGCTTTTCCACATGGTGCCAATGGAAACAACGCATGGAAGATTTATCATCCTGAGAAAATAATAGAAGTCAAATGTGAATGGTGGAAATATGTAGTCCATGGACTTCCAAAGGCAAGGAGGCTGAGTTGCCGGGGGTACTCTTCCAAGTGACAAGTGACCAGTTACAGCTTCTAGCAAAGAGGAGATTTAACCATGCTCCGTATTTACCTCCTTTATTTTAAATATCCTTTGTAGTTTTGAAGGACCTGACTCAGCAGCCAGGTCACCTCAGTCAAGGACAGCTTGCCTGCAGAAGGGGTGGTATGCCACAAAGTCCAGTCCAAAAGAAAGCTTTTTTTTTTCTAAGCAGAGAGGAAATTGCACAGGAACATGGAAAGTATGAAAGCATGCAGAAATACTCACAGTTTGGGTTTGGCAAGCAGAGGTGGTGGTTCCTTAGTGGGCGAGAGCAGGGCAGCTGGTGTTGGAGGAGATTTATTGCCGTAGGTTTTGCCATTAATCAGCCCGTTGACTCCATGGCTGGGATGAACTCCATTAGTCTCCCTCTCTGCAGAGTTGAATTGCATTTGAAGGGCTGCCATGTTAAGTCCTAAATTGGGGCTGTTCACCTGCTGGATTTCAGATGGCTTCTGGGATGCAAACTCATAGGAACCTGTCTCCAAGATTGGAGGGGGTGGCGGGAAGTGTTGGTTGTGATCACTGTTGGGTTCTTCCATTGGGTCATAGCTGCAGTTCTCAGCGTTAGCTAAAGGAAGGGGAAAAAAGAGGAAAAAAGTAGTAAGATGCTACCTGTTCAACAAATGATTTTCATACTCATAGACTCGGAGGGGGAGAATCTCTCCATGTCATTAGGGAAGAAGTGGTATACTGCTGTCACGACAAGTGAGAGCGTTTCCAGCCTTGTGGCCTTGTTTTGACTGGTGACTATTTGTCTCATTTCCTGACTGAGTTTACCTGTAGGAAAACCAGCTACTGAGTCATTAACAAACTGCCTTAGCCTGGCAGTGCTGGTACATGCCTTTAATTCCAGCACTCTTGAGGCAGAGGCAGGTGGATCTCTGAGTTCGAGACCAGCCTGGTCTATAAGAGCTAGTTCCAGGACAGCCTCCAAAGCCACAGAGAAACCCTGTCTCAAAAAACAAAACAAAACAAACAAACAAACAAACAAAACACCAAAACAAACTGCCTTTAGAGCTTACGATAGATAAGGCATCATCGGACATGATATTGCAAAGAATATCAGTCCAAATGCTTTGTCTTCTGACCCCCAGCCCATGCATCCCATTGGACACTTAACCATTTCTCACTGACATCATTCAATTTCAGAAGGGTTTATGATGCCATCCCTTCTGAAGCTGGGGAAGAGAAGTTCTGAGTCCAAGCTGAATTCTTGAAATTCTCGTGAGTGCAAAGAAAATTTCCCTGTCAGATGGGGAAATATGCTGTCTCAACTATAACTTAGTAGAAGACAGACTGAAAAATGTTACTTTCAATAGATTAAAAGTATCTTAGGTCATACCCTTTTTGAGTCATTCAACTGCTAAGAATCTGGCAGACATTTTGGAATGCACCAAGCAATACTTATTGAGGTACATATGTTTGGCATACAGTAATGAACAATATTACATTACTACAATATTAATTAATATTACATTAAAATATTACATTATACAGGTTTTATCACACAAACTGACAGAGTCTACATTTTGCAGTTATGGTTTGGAGACTGCGGTGATCATTTAATGGGGCACTCTTCAAGCTAACTGAAAATTGAAATACTGTGATAATGACTGCTATGGGACTTCAGGGACAGCACTGCAGTTTCCAACTTGTTCATTCACATCAACCATGTCCCTGTAAAGTGAACCTTTGTTTCCCTACTTATCTTAAAGAACATAAAAAGCCTTGGCAATTACAGAGCTTCTTTCCGTAGTGCCTCTGCTGCCACCTAGCCCCCAAGTTCTTGATCTTCTAAAAATCAGGGCCACTGAATAGCCATCCACGTCCTGGTGCCCTACTGCGTGTTTTAGGTTTGCTCAAAGTGACCAGCCTAAAATCTCTGTAAGATGAGCTTGAAAGATGAGATAAAGCTCTTCAGTAGAAGACTCCCCTAAGCTTGCAAACAAAAGTAAAGGTCTGTTTCTTCTTATTGTCTTCCCCGACTATCTTTTCTGAGTTTGGATGTCTGTGTATTTCTGAATGCTTGTTTCAGTAGTGCACTATTTTATCTTTCATATAAGAGTTGTTTACTCACATTAATATACACTGGGAGGAAATTTGATTTCTAACATCTTCCCGGTTTCCCTACATTTCACTAGCTGGCATTCCTTTCTCGGATGTTTCAATTGTGTCAATGGAATGACACATTTGGACAGGTTTCTGCAGGTTCTCTGCACTCCCGAGGACCATGACTACACCTCCGACTTAAACGTGGCAATCTGAGGTGAGGAATCCTAGCTTAGCATGAAGATTACCAGCTCCATTGTTTCTGAGACCAAGATTGCATGATTCTGAAAAAACTGGCCCCATGAGCAAGTGCTAGTTACCGTGTGTGTCATCTCCACCTCCACAGCTCCATGCCTCCCCTAAAGCCTTTTGTTCGAGATGAGACATCCCATTGTTAGGCGAACTCTTGGAGTGGCCATGAACATTCCTAAGAGCTGAGTTTTGCTCCTGGGACAGTTGCTGCCTGTCTTGGGGGACTGCATAAGAACCTGGTAGGAGGCCCCAGTTGCTTTTGATTGCCACATACCTGAGGTGACAATAAGTTGTGCAGTGCTGGTCACTGATCCGTAGTCATTTCTGGCTGAGCAGGTAAAGATGCCTGCATCTTCAGGAAAACTCTCAGCAATGACAAGGGTGCAGATCTCCTCTGGAAGCAAAATGACCAAGACAATCCGTCAGAGGGGAACTGTCAGAGAAATCACCAATGAAGAGGAGCCAGTCTGTCTCAAACATATTTTCAGCCCCACAGTGGTGGCACACGCCTTTAATCCCAGCACTTAGGAGGCAGAGGCAGGCAGATCTCTGTGAGTTTCAGATCAGCCTGGTCTCAAAACAGATTTCCAGGACAGCCAGGACTATTACACAGAGAAACTTTGTCTCAAAAAACAAAAAACAAAAAACAAAAACAAAAACAAAAAAACAAAACAAAACAAAAAACCAAACCAAACCAAACAAAAACTATACCTTTCAAATACTATGGTCAAAGTGTTATCTCACAAGAATTCTTTTTGTTTATTGAAATAATCTTACACACACACACACACACACACACACACACACACATTTAAAGCAGTAAGTACAAAGATAAACAAATTAAAACAAAGTGAAAAGTGCAATCTCTTTTTATTATCTGGTTCTCTCCATATCCAATGCCCCTTAATGTCTCCAGAAGTAAACATAAAGAATTTATTGTATTTAACTCTACAGAAAAATTACACCAGCTTTTAAAACATTTATAGATATTACCAAAGTACATTGTTTTGAGGTACTATTACAGGATTGAATATACATCTCTTTTTTTTTTTTAAAAAATTATCCAGTACCAAGTCTGTGGTCCTCTGTGATCATTGGAGCAATCAATCCTCCATCCCTGCACTTTATTCTTGAACCCCGTGCCTTCCCCATTCCCGATGATCTCTGATGATGCTGATGACAGTTTGCTAACAGACTGCTGAACATTTTCCTTAAAGCTGGAAATGCACGTTTCCTTATGTCAAAATGCTCTGTTCCTGGGCAGAGACCTGGGGACCACTATGATTACAAGCTGTTGAGATGTCAGCTATAGGCATAGCTCAAGGCCAACACATTGCTACCACATTGATACGTGCTTAAATGTCCAAGCTACTAAGTCACACAACTTATTCTTTTAGCAAAGTATTCAGTTTGATGTCAAAACGGGGTATGCCAAACTCCATTCACATACAAGACAAACTAAATCAATGACAAGGGTGCAGATCTCCTCTGGAAGCAAAATGACCAAGACAATCTGTCAGAGGGGAACTGTCAGAGAAATCACCAATGAAGAGGAGCCAGTCTGTCTCAAACATATTTTCAGCCCCACAGTGGTGGCACACGCCTTTAATCCCAGCACAGAGCAGTACAGAACTGACATGGTTTGGGTAAATGTTGAGAAAAGTGACAGGGCAAACATCACAAATTTCCATTTATATAGTATGTAAACAGGCCAATTTCTTTTTCCTACGGGAGTTGAATAGTGGCGGCTGGGGGCATGGTCAGGAGATGGAAAGCTGCTATTTAGAATGGATAAAGTTACAAGCATGTCAGGGAGGAAGAGCTGAAGGATCTGCTGTATGGGGCTGTGTGATAATGGCACACTGTGCCCTTAGAACTTCGGAAAGCATACTTTTTGTTTTGTACTTCTTTCTTTCGCTTCAGGAAAGATGATTAAAAGAGCAGAGTAGGGGCTGGAGAAATGGCTCGGTAGTTAGGAGCACTTGCTTCTCTTCCGGTTTTCAGGTTTCAGTCCCAGCACCCATAAAGTGGCTCACAATCTGTACTCTGCTTTCAGGGGATCCAGTGCCCCCTTCTGGCCTCTGTGAACATCAGGCACATGGTATATTTGCAGACAAAAGAGCAGAGAATGTCTATTGTCTATCTAGTTAAATACCAAGTTAGGCAAACATTCAAGAGTCTCCAAAATATAAAGAAATTCATCTAATGAAGATGTTGCTCAGGTAATCTCCATTTTCTTTGAAGAATAAGAACAAATGAGCTGTGCTTCTAGCAAGAGGGAAGATGATGTATTAAAAGAACCAATGGCCAGACTAACAAAAGGTTGTAAGATATCAGGAAAGACTTCTGAGAGAAAGCCTGAAACTTCTTCCCATGCACAAAGCCTAGATGTTCAGAATCCACCCCAGCTATTTGATGAGGGTGCTAAGGAGTGTGCTACTTTAATATTCTACAGCTGCAGGTGTGAAATAGTGATGCAGCGTTTCCAGACTCAAGTTATTTGTCACTTTCAGGGGGGTTAGATATGGTAGCATGAAAGGAAGGACTCAATTAGAAAATCTCTGGGTGGATCCCAACTTCAAAGTCTAGAGGCCCAGTGGTCATGTGGTGTGCTCAGCCTCTCTCCTCCCTTCTTTCAAACCTGCACCCCCTTTAAAGGCAGGCAAGTCAATTGCAAGTGGGAAAACTTACCAGAAAGTTCCAGTTTGCTAAATGTAACTATTTACTTAAATATAAGATAGAATTAAAGTTTTTTTTAGTTAATTTAATAAATAAAAGAGAGAAAGAAGAAAATATATTTTGGTGTTTATATTTGCCTCAGATTTCTGGAGGAATCAAAATGCAGGTTGATTATGTAATATCTTTTAAATCTGACCAGATGTTAGATACTCTATAATTATTCTATAACCATAAAGACAAGACCTTTTTTGTTTTTTTCTTAGTAGCTCTATAATCCTTCCAACTTAGTCTATACAGACAAAACTATGTTTCCTGAATTCTTTTTCTTTTTATTAAGATCTCTCTATATGTTTAAAAATTGTGAATTTATATTTGGGGCACATATGTAATCTCACAACAAATGTCAACAATATGTGTCATTAGAAACAACAAACAAACAAACCGCTCAAGTTAATACCGCAGCTCATCAAGCAGGCAGCTGCGAGGGAATAGGCAGACATGAATCCAGACTCAGCTTCCTGTCTTTGCTGTGGGAAAGGTCCCCACCTCAAGGTGTACCACGGGAAACACTATAAATGGGCAAACACTATAAATGAAGAGTGCGAAGATATGATGTGTAATTTACATTGAAGCTACTTCGGCATTTTTAAAATCGGTGACTCTACTTACAAAGGGGGAAGAAAATCTACAGGCTAGGAAAATGAATTGGCTACTCTGGTTTTGTGTTCTTCCTTTGGCTGTTGACAGATACCCCAGATCCTTTGTCATTATTTAAATTTGTGCAAGTCGAAGACCAGAGTGCCTGTGCTCCCTGGTAAGACTGGTGACATTTCTTGGGGGGGGGTTTCGTTTATGAGGCTGGCTGCCGAGGTTCCTTCCCTTTTGGATCTTGACTCTTTTCACAGCAGTGCTTGCCAGAGTTAGCTGTCCATGATAAGAATCACCTGCAGCCTGGCTCAATGTGCTGACTTAATAGTTCTCTCCGCTCACCTAGAGCCTGGCTAAGCATCTCGGGCATGGAGCCAAGGTGGTTTTTGTTGTTGTTGTTGTTTTAAATATCAAAAAAAAAGAGATTTTCACACACACACACACACACACACACACACACACACACACACACACGAAGTACATACAGACACAGACACACACACATATATGTATATGTGTATATAGATTACATGTATATTATTACACATAATGTATATGTATGAGCAACAGCACACACACACACCCAGACACACACACACACAGTGACAATAAATGTCACAGAAAACACTAAACAAACACCCTACTATTTTTCATTTATCTACTTTTTGTCTGTTTTTTTTTATTTTGGTGTGTGTGTGTGTGTGTGTGTGTGTGTGTGTGTGTGTGTGTGTGTGTACCCATACCACAGCTCATGTGTGGGTATCAGAGGACAACTTTTTGAAGTTGATTCTCATCTTTCATCTGCGGAGCCTCAAGCCCAAATGCAGGTTACTAGTCTGAGCAGCAAGAACCTTTACCCACTGAGCCATCTCATTGGTCCCCTTTCTCTTTTTTCTTTAGATCTTGGTTTTCTTCCTTCCTTCCTTCCTTCCTGCCTTCCTTCCTTCCTTCCTTCCTTCCTTCCTTCCTTCCTTTTTTTGGGGGGGGTTTCAAGACAGGGTTTTTCTGTGTAGCTTTGGAGCCTGCCCTGGAACTAGCTCTTGTAGACCAGGCTGATCTCAAACTCACAAAGATCTGCCAGCCTCTGTAAAGGTATGCACCACCACTGCCTGGCTAGATCTGGGTTTTCTATGTAACTCAGGCCTTGTTAGTTCTGGAATTATAGGTATATACTACCTGGCTCTCTTATTTTAAAAAACAGCAGTTGCAAAAGAAGGCTGGGCATGTAACTCCTTGGTAGAATACTTGCCCAATACAAACAAGTGCCTGGGTCTGATCCCCAGCACTAAAAAACAACAACAACAAAAAAAATGGTCACTATCCACTTTGATGACTCATTTTGAACCACTATTGGAGCAGCAATCTAAAAGCAGTGCCTCTTGAGGTTGACAAGATAGCTCAGAGGGTAAAGCTGCCTGATGCAAAACCAGATGACATGAGTTCAATCCATGAAGGAAAGAGAAAACAACTCTGCAAGTGTCCTCTGAAGTGCACATTGTGGTCTTACCCCTTCCCAAATAAGTTGTCAAATGTGAGAAGAAATAGATAAACACTGCTCCATAACCCTGATTCCCCATTCTTAATATCCATAAATCCTGGATGTTTGAAATATTAAGGGAAGAGCTTGAGATTTGGGTTTGAAAGACACTGACACTTTAAAAGATACAATTATTTGATTAAAAAGTTCAGTGAATAGAAAGAAACTAACAGAAGTCACCTCATATGTTTTAATAATACTGTGCAGTCTTGACTTTCCAGGTGAAGCAGAAAGTGTGGCAACAATTCCTGCTGGGGCCTCCACGTCAGTATGATCATTTATTTTGGAAGTGAGAAACTACTGGAAAGGTACAAGGCAATGGGAGTTTTTTGTTTTGTTTTCCTGTTTTTTATTTTTTAATTGAATACATATGGTTATGAATGTAAGCAGACAAGGGTAAATAAAACCTAGGATATTTGTGTTCTAAGATAGACTGGTTCAAAACTCTCATTCCTTCAGGTTTGATCTCAAGAATATGACTAATTAGTATTGCAGTCCAAATTCTCATGGTAGGCTACTGGCCAGGCATG